CAAATCACTCATATCTTGTTGTACCTCTAACAAATGTTTTGATAACTCTAATTGATGTAAACAAACATCTATTTCAAGTATTAATAATAGTAATACCATATTATGAAAGTGTTCCAACTCGAACATTACTTGTACACTTGTTTTTGAGAAGATTGTTTTCTGTTCAGGGAATAAACTTATGTATAATGAATAGATTTCATTGTTTCTTAGTTTATCACTATTAACAAATCCTATTGCTTTATAATTATACAATTTAACTAGTATTTTCTCTACATGTAATTGTAATTTACTAGCACATATATTATTTGGGTCAATCCCTGATATTTTATATAATGTTTTATTTACAGCGTCTAACTGTGGGAATTTCGTTACATCTATTAAATGTATAGTATTTGGTTTTCTTGTTATTATTTTCAGAATTTAATAAATCGCAATAGTAATTTATCCTAACCCATTACATAAAGTGACTTCTGTAATTAAGAGCATTGTCTCTAGAGCTTCACACCCCGCCGTTACCAGCAGCGCATGTCCAGATAGGATCACAAGAGAGTACTTGTGGAGATATCTCATCTCAAAGTTATGTGAACCTTCAAGTCGCACTATGCAAAAGGTACGCTGTCACTTGTTTTAACTCCTTCCCCTTCTTTCATTAATAATTTCTATTGGCTTTCTATCCAAATTGTCTGTAGCTACTTCGCTTATTGTAGGAAGACCGTGCCACTTTAACATAGTATTCAGGTGTTTAGCTGTATCACCTTGGAAGGTAGTCAACGCCTGTTTAAGTAAATCCACCTGCTCTTTAGTTAATGTTACTTTACCTTCGGAATTTAAATTCCAATCGGTACCATATGGTTCAGGAGTTTCTTTCGCAAATAAGTCACACATTCTATCATACATTGAGTTGGTATTTGTACCACCACCGCTACTTAATACTCTTAAATTAAATCTTCTTCCTTTACCCCCCTCTCTAGGGTATATAAGTGTAGGATATCTTTATCTCTCCACATGGGTTCTTTAATATTACCATGTTCAAATATTATATCAAATAATTCTTTAATTAGTTTTACTTTACCTTTTCTATATGGTAATTTATTATCTAAATGAACAGTATATGAATGTATTTTATCTACTACCTTATTTAATACTAAAGAATGAGCGTAATCAAAATATAATTTAGGATCTCTCCCAAACCAAAACAATGAAGCACATATGATTTTCATCACTTTAGTTCCATCAACATTATCTGTTAAGGCTGTTTCAAGATCTAAAGTCATATGTTTAATTACGGTTTTTCTAGATTTAGGAGATAATTTTATATTTCTCTTATTTTCACTTAAAGATATATTTGTTAAATCACTCCCGAACACTGGGGTTGATTTTATTTCACTTGTTTTATCTTTAGTTACTGGTAGAGTATTATCTCCTACAAGATTACTCATATCGATAATACTAATTAAATTTCTTTTTTTCAATTTATTTTCTTTATGAACATCCTCACAATTATAAATTTTTCCATCTAACGTTTCGACTCTTAATTTACATTTGTCACCTAATTTTTCTATAACAATATTTGATATTAATTCATTGATGGTTAGATCTTTAAGATATGATACGGTAGGTGATATAATAACTAAAGTTCCCCATGAATAATATTGATTATTTTTAGGTAAATTTAAATCATTTTTAGCTTTTTTGAAGCCATCTATAGATGTTAAACTTCTATTTTTAGCCGCAAATGTTTCATAATTTGTTTTATTAGAGTCACCGTAGATTATTCTTATTTCAACTATGTTTTTTACTTGATATTCATCAAACATAAAAGCAAGTTTAATTGCAAGATGTTCATAATACATTTTTAAATCTTTTTTATTACCTAGTTCGATTACATGACCATTACCTAAAGATAAATATCTTCCATCATCGATTTTTACTAGTAATCTAATATATAAATAGTTTAAATTGAATTTATTTCTTTTTAAGAAATTATAAAGATTTTTTTTAATTGTATTTAAATTACATACAGAATGTAATTTTATATCTTTAGTATTATATTTGTCATCAGTAGAATAATTTACTTTATTTTGTATCAATACATTATTTGATATACGGCCTTTGGCAAGTAGAGTTTTAAGTTTTATACCCCCAAGTAATTTTATTCCTTTCATTTTGTTCAAATGAGGTAATAATGAGTTACATTATGCTAACTAAGATTTTAGTTAATACATAATTATTATCATGTACTGATACCACTACCGTGATATAGTAGCATTTTATAATTATTTTATTAGGATTTAAGATTATAATATCTAATTTGGTTACTCAATTAGGGTTATGAATTAATAACTTATATTTATTAGTATAAGTAAGCTCTAGCCTATTAATACTGTTCACTTACAACTTTGTTACTATTTTTCTTAATCCGCTAAGGTTCCAGTATGACGTAATAGACTCGAGATACAAGAAGACAAATTTTGAATTTACTAAATTAATTTATAAGGTTTTATTTGTTTGGTACAGATAATTATATGCTTTATTATTCACTATACAATTACGCTGGCTAACCCAAATAAAGATATTATTAATTTCATATAGTTAATCAATTAGGATTACACTCATTTTTAGTGTAACTAAATTTAGATTTAGGTATCTTCGGTACAAATGTTTAGCTATGTCTACGGTATACTGTAGCACTTGATATAGATTCCATTACTCTACAAAATCAGTTATTAAATTAAGGTTTCTTTAGTTTGGATATTTATAGTTTGCATGTTGGCTCTGAGGCACTTCCGACTAAATTGATTAATAATAATCGACAGGATTTTACAAGACATTATTTAGTTAAGTAAATATAAACTTACTTAAACGTATTGTACATAATTACCTATTGTATTTTGATTTTAATCTATACTTATTACATTTGTACACCAGGATAGAACCTATGCATGAGTCACGTGTACAGTGATGAGTTAATTGACTACTAAACCTCAATCTTGTGTGGGGTGCTGTATCAATGTCTGCTCTATTACACCCTCTCTAATGGAATAGGATGGGGTTAAAATACAAAAATAGAAAAATAAAATATTACTCCAGGTTGTTACGGTTTTATGACAATAAAAAGATAAAAGCATGGGAAAAGTTAAGTTAAAACAATTGGTTTAGTATTAACCATAATATTATTAGAATCAAAAATAATTCTTCTTTTATTATCAGTCGCTTTAGAATCATATGAAGTTTCTCTTATTATTACTGAAGAATCAACATAATCTCTAAACCATTTATTCTGTTTTAAAGAAATAATATTATCTTTAACTAATAAATATTCTAATTGTTCAATAGTTAAAGAATTAGATAAGCCTTTAACTTTACTGAATTGATTAGCTGTATTTAACTCAACTCCACCATAAAATTTAGGTCCAACTGCCACAAATTTAGATAAAACTTTTTCAAGTTTTAATAACCCTAATTCATTATCTGATACGTATTTTGAATCTAATTCTTTATCAATATAAATACTATCAGTATCTGAGTAATATAAATTAAACAAATTACTGTTTTTAAATTGACTCATGTGTATTCTTGCATAGGCTGTAACTGCCCCGGCAATAGCCACATTAGATTCACTACCTTCCATAACATTTTTAGAATTAATATCACAAACTAAATAATAATCATCTAAAGTTAATTCAATATCTATTGCTTTATTTTTGGGCATTAGATTTTTATGGTAAAAATAATAATTATTTAAATCCGGATTAAGTCCAAATCTACCATACAAACTATTAAGTAATAGTTTACTAATAATTGGATCGTCTTTAGATGTATTAGATTTAATATCATATAATTTAGTGATATAATCTGAGAATATATTTGCTTTAGTGAAAACTATACCTTCTAAAATTTCAAATTTGTATCCAAAATTTTCAGCATTTTTAATTTCTTCACTAACAGGATTTTCGTGTTAAAATTAGATTTTGCTTTGTTGATTTTAAGAATTATATTAATAATATTACAGTTAATTTACCTCACTGTGATTAAATTGACCCATTTTCCATTATACAAATTATATTTTTAATTTACACACTATTCACAAATTATTATTAAAGTAATAAATATACCAAGGTGTTAAAATATTGTGATAAAAGTAAAAAACTCATGTTACACTTTTTAATAAATATAATCTTGTGACACAGGATGGTTAACTAAATATTACAACGATAATCTTGTTCCTCTTCTTAGTGCTATCACAGATTTATGGTGTCTCCTGATAATTATCCCCTGTACTACCTATATACCCCCTATTAGCAATATTTTAAAGTAAAATAATTACCTTTATTAACCCTTTTTAATAAAAAAAATAATTTCGTTAAATAAAAAGCTAAAAGAGTTAAGATATCTAATACTGGAGTTTAAGTATTTAAATTTAAATTATGTGAAAGTACTTGGTTGTTATTAGTTTACAATTACTATAAAAATAGTGGTAAATAAATAAAGAAATTTTAATATAATTAAAGGTATAAACTTACTTTAATTAAATAGAGAATATTAAACCTAAACTTGACCTTTGAATCTTTAGTTTAAATTCAGATGGAACTAAATTAGTCTTATAGTTATCTAACAAATCCTAGCTGAAATAGTTTAAAAGGTTAAAACGTATCACTCATGACGATATAATAAAGGTTCAATTCCTTTTTTCGGCTTATGTGCGACTGTTTCTCTGTGTTCCGCAAGGAACGCCCTGCACCTAAAAATTTTTAACAAACAGTGGCAATAAATAAACATATAAGAGGTAGAATTAGTTTAATTGGTAAAATGACGTCTTGTGGCGACGATGTACAGAGTTCGAGTCTCTGATTTTACCCTTGAATGGACAGTTACGGGTTAAGTTTACAGATGGTTCTGTAGTAGACCTGCAAAGTCTATCAATTTAAGGTTCAATTCCTTCTTAACTCTAATTAATCTGGTCCTGCGGGGCACACAGTGTGTTTTACACCAGTAATAAAGAGGGTAGAACTCGATAGGTTGAGTGTCTCACTTTTAATGAGCATGGTCCCAGTTCAAGTCTGGGTACCCTTATTTTTAACACAGTGCGGACAGCATAAATGTTTTTTTTATATAAGAGTTATTAAATATTGCAATTGCATATACAATACGATAATTAAAAATTATCTAAAT